GGGTGGGGTACACGGCGCCTCCTGAGGGAGGACGGCCCCTGAGCGGGGAGCGGGGGACGGTCGGGCCGTGCCCAGCCTGAGGCCGGGGCCAGGGACTCCTGCGAGCTGTCCCCAGCCCTCACCAGCCAAACCAGCCGCCTTTCTGGAAACGGAGGTGGAAGAGGCCTTCAAGTTCAAATCGTTGCGGTGGGGCTTTTCAGGCAAAAATAAATATTTTTCTGAAAAGGCTGGTTGACAGTTTCTAAACAGAAACGGGGATAGCTGGCATTTACGCTGCATAACTGCCTCCACATGCTTAAGTTTATTTAGCTTCTCACAGCTACAAAACAAAAAAAACAAACCAGGTCATCATAACATTTCACAACTGCGGGGGAGAGGCCTGGCATCGTGTGTTCCTGATGCTCAGCTGCAGTGGGTACAAGGCCTGTGATGCAAAACCCTGGGGCCCTGGTGGATGGGCACGTGGATGTTACGTGACAGGAGGGCTCAAAACTGACAGGACTTCTGAAGGCATTCGCACCGGTGGAGGCTGGCCCAGCCACCGCTGCTGGCAACAGTGGCTGAGACTCCTTGAGACTCTGTGATCGGCTCCTGATTGGGTCTGCCAAGACCTTGAAGAATGATCGGCATCTCCAGTACCCGTGAGCTTTCAAAAATTTTAATACACCTCAGCTACAAAGATTTCCGAGCGATACGCTGTTGTGTATCGCAGTGTCAGGTGGGGATGGCAACAAGCCTGCAGTGTAAGATTCAGAAAGGTGTTTGAAAATATCTTCAGGTGTTTTGCTGTGATTCATCTTTCTGCTATGCCCTCCTGTGAGCTGCAGTTGAAAGTCATTAGAGTTAGACCCAAAGAAAGTACCTGGATATGGAGAGTCCGGGGCCCTGGACGGTGTGCTTTTAAAGTGTCTGGCTTTGGAAAGGAATTTGGAAAGCTGGGTTAGAGTCTGCAGCTCACTGAGCAGTGTCTGGGGAGAATTTGGATCTCCAGAAAGAAAAGCAGACAGCGCTGTGACCAAGGAGCTGTCTAGGGTCAGTACATTCAGTCCCAGGCAGACCCTTTTCTCAGAGCTGCCGAGAATCGCCTCCACCAGTTTGGAGTCCAAAGATCAAAACCATTTCCTGAAGGCAAAATTTATAACCTTTCTTTGTCAAGCTGTGCTTTAAAAAGCCTAATACCCTGATTGCATGCAATGGTCTTGTTCTTCAAACACTTATTCACGATATGGGAGGCTGATGTACACTCCCCTGCTGTCTGATGGCATCCAAATTCATGTTTCCTAACGTGAACGTTCAGGCGCTCCTAACGCCTGAACAATAAATAACTCTGCATGTTATCCAATGACTGTTTTAATGAAAAATATAGGAACAATCAGTGGAACAGAGTGATAGTGTTTGCTTTTGTTAGAACCCCTTGTTGCTGAGGGGGAACCCAGTCTTGCAGCTGCAGGAGAATCCTTGCTCATAGGATAGCTATATGATAGCTCATAAAAGTCCATTCCAAAGGGAATCCATGAAGAACAGTAGAAGACAACACCCAACAGAAGAATGAGTGTATATTTTAAAAGTTTCCTATTAATTTCCTGCAATTAGGCTTTATTAGGAAGAGCTGAAATGCAGCATGCTCCATTCAAGTCTTAGCACATATACTAAGACCATTCTCTCTCAGCCTTGACTTTGTCCATCATAGATGGAAACAGTATAGCAGCCTTACTGCCTGCAAGAACAAAAAGTTTGGGTTCCTGCTTTATTACTTACAGAGATGGAGCTTATACCAACGGTGTTCAGCTTCATTTCGTAGTAGAGCTGGCTCAGGAGCTCTCTTTCAGTAACTGCTTTTTGCTGAATAAATGTAAGAAAGTCACAACTACTTGTGGGAGAGATTGCAGCAGGTTTCTAGCTTAAAAATTAGTCGAGGGAAAAAAATTCAGAACTATCAAAATATTCTATAATGGACATTTACTGAATGAAAAAGTTCTGTTTTTTTCAGTTCAGAATGACTGCTCATTTCAAAACTCCTGTTACAAATTAGTAGAAAAAACAGAATAGAAAAGAAAATATTTTGAGTCGCCCTCAGGCTGACTGTTACATTTTATTTTGGTGCATAATTTTGACTTGTTTCCCACTGAGGGAAAAAATTATTCACAAAAGTTCTCCCTGGAGAACTATGTTATTATTAACTTAGGTAAAAACATAATCCTAATTCTAAGTCTTTCTTTTTCTCAGAGAACAAACTCGCATCTCTCTGGCCATTCTCCTACTCTTCCCTAAGTCAGCTATCTTCTCTCTTCTTAAAGATCCTACTATGAAAGGATATAGTCTAAACCATGGTTATTTCCATGGGTTGATTAACTGAATAATACATGTTAGGTCTGAGCCAATGTAATTTCCTTCAAGAGAAAAGGAGTGGATTTCGTAAGAATTTGATGACATGAAGGCTTTGAAAGTAAATCTTTTTCTCCCACATGCTCAGGCAAGATTTGTGGTGTGAGCATGTTGCCAAGAGTAACTTACTGTAGACCTTTCTTATGTAAATAAAAGTGAAAACAGTGCACGAGTGCAAACATCTACACCACATTTAGTGGAGTAAGATAAACTCATTGAACTCAGTGACCTCATTTCTCTTTCAGTTGCATAAAAGGACTTGCTCTTTCTTGTACTGGTCCTCGTTGTTGTTGCGAGTGTGGTTAGCTTCACCTTGCACTTCGGTGGGATCCCTTCCATGGTGTCTATAACCCCCACGCCCTTCATCTTACGTCTCCTTTGCGGTTCTTTTTCACATTTTCATTTCATGTTACTTGCTGTAGCCTTTTGCAATACAGCTCAGTGGGAAAGAGTCTTCCCATGCTCTTTGCTGCCTAAGTGAGTTGTTTTGAATTACCAAACTCTCTACCCTTTTCCCTGAAGTTAGACAGAGCTCTTTCTCAGTCTTTGAGCATCTTGAAACACCCACACATCAACAATGTTTGTTAATACAAGATGCATTAGAAATGGAGAAAACTTAATGGAGACTTAAGTGGTTGGTTTATCTAGATTTAGCCTTTATGAAGTGGATCGCTATTAGCAAAAGTCGCACAAAGTTGTACTATTTTAATTGTGCCAGTATACTAAAGGGGTACAGCTTCCGTATCACATAGGCACAGAGCTAGCAGTAGCATGGCATTTCCGATACTAGACAACGTGACTTATTGTGGCATGAAGGTCCTTATGTCAGAATGCCTATGTCTGGCCTTCTTGTACCAGCGTTGCGGGAGAATGGAGGTTGAAGAAAAAAAAAATCCCCTTCTAAGGGTGTTCTTCTTTTCCAGAAAGACATGCCAGCTCTTAATGATACAAGTCTTAAGTATTTATAGGACAAATCCCCCTTAGTTTTTCATTCTTTTGTGGTCTGAGGAAAGGAAGGCGGATTTTCTCAGATTTCTAACTCTGTTCTTTCAAAGAAAGAAAATCCCTCCTGTTAGTCAAAAGCAACATCACCATTTCATCATTCAAGCCCTCCTCTATGTTCATATATATCCAGCATTAGAGTTATTAAATTGCATTAGGTCCTTTCTGCAAGTCATCCCAATAAACTTCACCCTCTGTGAAGGAAACTGCTCTTTTCCCTTGCTGTAGTGCTTTGCAGATAGTTCTGCAGCGTCAGCTGGAGCCATGAAGCCAAGGGGAGTTTCTGCTGGCTGTTTGTGTCTGAGATGGAAGCTGGAGATTCCCTTTTGCTGGGAAATCCCTTTATGGTTAAGCACAGTAAAAGACCTTACTCCACCTTTGTGGACAGTGCTTTATAATCCCATAATTCTGGCCCAGCAGAACAGCTGTTGCCTCATGCTGGTTTTATTTAAAATAAAAGGTAAGAGCTATCTCTGCAACCCTGCCCTTCCTCACCGCTACTTGGCATCTCAATATCAACAGGGAATATACCAGAGTCCAAAATATTAGCCATGTATTCCTGTTACGCCACAATCCATCGTGTTCCACAAATGTTTCTAGTGGTGGAACATCTCCCAGTTTACCGGGAACTTTTTGTGGCCCATACTTGAAGTCTTTCTACAAGGCCTACAACTGCAGCGTCAGTCTTGCTCTTTTTTGACTTTTGTCGTTCATCTTCAGTAAGAACTGCTGACAAACTACCTGGAATTAGGTCTTCAGTTACACCTGTACAGGTAGAAATAATTTCCGTTCTAAAAGCAGCGCTGTCAGTGCCAGTTTCAAAAGTCAGTATCTATTTCTTGAAAAATACACATAAGCAGGAGTAGAGTCCCGTTCCCTCCTTAACCATCGCCCTGCTGGATTCTTTCATCTTAAAGCATTACAAACTTATTTGCCACTGAACCTGGAGGCTGGTTCTAAACTCACAGCAGGTCTGTCGGTAACGTGCCCTGTCTGTAGTGTCACTCAGCCTTTCTTAGTCTGCACAAGTTTGTCTTTTTTCTTTTTTCCTTTTTCCTTTTTTTTTTTTTGGTGGGGGGAGTGTTGGCAGAATCACAATGGAGTTTGGGAGAAGAGTTTTCCTCGGGGAGGTATCAGATGTGCTTATTTGATACTTTACCAAATAGAGCAATAAATATATTAAATGTTTCCCAAGGGCAATAGTTGCATTCAATAGTCATACATCTGAGGAAACGAAACTCTTCTGTAGAGAGGTATGTGGCCAGGCATTTGAACGGAAATAAACAGCAGGATTTCAGGCAAAGGCTTTATCTGATGAACTACTGATGCAGTCTGCTCTAATCCCTCCAAAAGCAATGAATAGGAGTAACCAGGATGTGGCCCAGAGGGTATTGAGTTCAGTGAAGCATAGCCCAAGTGCCTTTTGGCTGACTAATGGTAAAGGGAAATAGAGTTTTCATATTTTCTTATGGCTCTAATGAAGACAATAGAAGCAAAATGCACTCAGTCACAGGAATTCACTACTTAAAGTTCAAACTCATCTCTTTGTGGTTTTACAGAAGTACTGCTGGATTAATAGTATCTTTTACATATCTGTTACACCTTTCATTAGAAAATAATCTAAAGACCACAGACAAGGATCGTTTCACACACGCCCTCCCTGGGATGAAACACAGCAATGCTCCATAATAGTTAGTAAAGACCATCAGAAGTCTCCTATTTATTTGCCATTTCTGGGAAATTTAGAGACCAGATATTATTACCAAACTGTAGTCATAGGCAAGATGATGATAATACTAATAACTAGCACTCCTCCTCTCTGAACACTTGCAAATGGTCATAGCCGTGGTGTTGTATATGATTCAGAAGGCAATAGCTGCAAATGGCATAGAAGCTAACAGCTGGTTGGGGCTCTGAGTTCTGTACTGGCTCAGGGGGGAGACACCGCTTGCTTAGTCACTAACTTAACCTAAACCATCTTTCTTGTATATTGGCAAGAGTTCAAGATGCTAGCCTCGCGAGAGCATCACCTATTATCTTGGTATTTCAGGGGATTTTAGAGGCCAGATATTAATATCTGTGAAACTCGTAATTCTAGAAATATAATACAGTATAATACAAAAATAACATGAAAGACTATATTCACACAATTATGCTTTATGAGATTTTATAGCAACATGTCAGCGCAGGAGCAATAAGATAAATATTTATTATTATAAGATAAATGTAAGAAAAACGTGCAA